GACAGGATACGAGAGAACTGAGGGTACTAGAACTCGAATAAATAAGCGTGACTATATTCTCGACAGCCACGTGGAAGTCTACCGTGGATCCCAGAGAAGGAATCATCCGTTGCAGCGCATAAAACCCGGAGATTGTCTCGTGAATCGGCCCTCGAAGGTTTCCTTTTTTTATCCGCCCCGGCAAAGGATTGTCCCAGAGATTGCGAGGCTTCAAAGGGAAACCCATCCATCTCGGGAATCTGTTACACTCCTATTTCTTTCCCTTTCCGCCGGCCCTTACATGATATATCACGTTGTAATAAAACGAGTTACGCACGGGACGACGAACGTTTCTGATTGATGACGTTGGAATAGCCGATGGGTTTCCGATTCAACGAAAAACGCCTCCGAAAACAAAGGAAAGGTCACCGTGAAATTGCTAAACGCTTCTCCGCAGCCAACAGCAATTTAACAGTAGAACTACCAATCAAAATGACTGGTTTCGATTTTTTCTTTAGATATCATTGATATCTTCGAAGCATTGAATATTTGAAATGATTTTGAAAATGCTTCATTTGAGCACTATGATGAATGTCTGAAGAAACTGAAAATATTCTACTGTTACAATTTTTATAGGAATTGCATGTTAATTGTATTAAATGCTCGGTTCTAGCGTTAAACGTTTCGAACGTTTGAACTGAACCATCGTTATTCAATTTCGATTCTGATCGAATATTCTGAGTTCTTTTAATTATATTTGAATTTTATGTTTCAGAATATTCGAAATGATTTTGAAAATTATTCTTCATTTGAGTTTATAATGAATGTCTGAAGAAAGTGAAAATAATCTACTGTTACAATTTTTATATGAATTGCATATTAATTGTATTAAATGCTCGATAGTTCTAGTGTTAAACGTTTCGAACGTTTGAAGAACCATCGTTATTCAATTTCGATTCTGATCGAATATTCTGAGTTCTTTTAATTATATTTGAATTTTACGTTTCATATTTACATTTCAACTTCATATTTCGCATTTGAATGTCGCGCATGGTACTCGAATATTTCAAGCGAAACATTCAGTTGTACCTCTTTACTGGCTCCGCTCTCTAAATCCACGGAAAAAAGTGTTTTCACTGTAATGCTCGACGACACGGGAGAGATTTCGCAAGTCCCATGGGGCCGACGTCTCGTTTCATAAAGGTTATCGTTCGTGCGAGCCGGAAACCGGATAGATTAGAGGTCTGCACGTGAGTCCGGGACGTATCTCGGCCGTTCTCGGCGTACTTTTCGAGTCGCGTTCGAAACCGTGGCTATCGAGCAGCCCGTTGCCGGAAACCGGGCAACTCTGTAATGCTAACTTTATCAATTTACAGTGAATTAAGCTTCGCGTTCGACCGCTGAATTATTTTTATCTGGCCAACGGTCGCGTGACCGAAGGAGCTAAGCTACGCTTAAAAACTTCAGCCAGCGGCGATGAGATATTTTTTCGAACACGCCACGTAACTTTCGAAACATCGTTTCAACATAATCTCGACCTCTGGCCAATTAGTTTTCATAAAATTCCACTTCAAGCGAGACTCCTATCAAACGTTCCTCTTGGAACTTCGCATTTGTTGAGAAATTACTTTAAAAAATGTTGAAGTTTCGCGTTCGCTTGAAATACGGTCGCGATCTGCCGACCTTCGAAGCTCGCACAAAGAAATATATTACACGCTCGTAACCGTGTTATTGAAACTTAAATTATTAAAACCGTAATATATCGCGTGTTTTAATAACCGATTTATTCTTCGCGTTTCAAAGGGAACTCGTTTGTTTCGTGTAACGACGAGAGACGACGAACGATCGAGGGAAAGGGATAATTTCGCTGTGCACACTGCGGTTCTGTTTGAGGATTTATTTAACGAATTAACAATGGTCTCGTCTCCGATAGGATTCTACTTAACCATTGGCAGAAGTCTCGACACGGTATTCAGTCGTCGTGTGACCGTGCAAATACCCTCGCTTCGTGTGGAGTGGCCACCCACGCCTGTACTTCTGCACGTATAAAGATTCTGTTTAGCACTGTGAAACCTTCAAACATACCGCGGGCTCTAGAACAGTTTGCAGAGGAGATTTACTTACTCGAAAACACAGGTTGAACTTGTTCAAGTGAAGCTACACGGATTTAATAAAGGTTAAGACACGACGGCGCGTCTGCCGTTACTGCGAAAAAGTAATATTCCAAACTGAATATCTGCACTTTGAATATTTAACCCTTTGCACGTGAAATGTGTATCTCAGTCACCATTCGATTGGTGCATCAAAATTGTAAAATTTCGTATTTGACACTAGGTTTACGGGCATTTATTGTACACTTCATTCTATTATTCCTAACAGAATTGATGCTCGTTTATTTAGATTGTGGAAATTGGAGATCTGATAGTAGGTAATTAGGGTACATGTCAGTGTGATCGCATTAATCAAAATCGGCGTAAATATTTACCAAATAATGTTTATAGAATTCAATATGCGTCAATTTGACGCGTTCCGTAAACCTAGTGTTAACATTAAGTCTTGAGTAATCTGACGATACGTGAAATGTGGAAATACCATTGTTCCCCTTATGTTGCGAATAGATTCCTCGTTAAATTAGTTTCAAAAAGTGTCATCTATATCTCATAAAAATAAATTAAGTATTTCTGGTGACAAATTTTTCGAGTGCGGGTTAAATTCGAATATTTCATTTCAAGCGTAAGGGTCTCAGTTTGTTAATATAATTATTACAATTCGAATATTTAACCCTTCGCACTCGAGAAGAGACTCTCAGTCACCACTTGATTTGATTTGCAAAATTATAAAGTCTTGTATATATTAAGCTTTGCATGATGCATCAATATGTGGAATATTGAAATAAAATAACTATCGTTCTCAACGTATATATGTTTTCTCGTTAATTAGTTTCAAAGATCGTCTGTATCTCTTCGCAGAATACTGAATACGTCTAGTGAAAAACTTTCGAGTGCAAAGGGTTAAGCTCGGCGAATTTTCAAGTACACAATTCCCAATTTTCATTCTTCCAATCAACGACACACTTCGATACTCGAATTCGATCGAACGTCAAGCGCTCTAACGCCACCGCGGGACTAACGCTTCCGCTTTCACGGCGAAACTCGCACTTACCGTGCTCCTTTTTTTCCCCCGAAAAAGAAAGATTATCGCAAAATTGGATTTCTGAACTAGTTACAGCGCCACTTTGTTGCCAGATGGAACTTCTAACGCAATATTGAACTTTCCGTGCGGCGGTCTTTTTTCTTTCGTCAATTTGCGCGGCTTCAAAGAATTTTGAATTTCATTTAACGAAATAAGAGCGAAAAAAAAGAGAAGCTGGAAAGGGGAAAATGGAATTCGCGATATCCAAGGCAATATCCGACGTCGGAATTGACGTTCATTAACTGCAACAGACTCGGAGGATGGGGGCCGCTTTGTATCCCGCGAGGAGAGGCTCGCAATAATGGTAAACTTTTTTAGTGGAAGCCTTATCGTTACAGGTAACGGCGGCGTTCGGCGCAGTTTAAAATAACTTTTATCTTCCGAGGCTGCTAACGGAGACGTTTACGACGATTTTTAATAACATCCCTGAAAACTTCCACGTCATTCCCCCCCTGTGCAGACCCTTCCGACGACGCGCCCGCGTTATAAAAGAGTTTTTATGTTTCCCATTGAAAAGGGACCTCCAGGGATTCGTTTATTCCGGAAAGGAAAACGTTTAATTGCGACGACGAAGAATGGAACGGCGCTGAATCGCGTTCCGAAATATAGGTATAATCCCCGTTACAGATTTTACGACGTTGTACCATTTTCCAGACGCTATTCAGCCGGCGCAGCGCAGCCAATGACGGAGGCTCCATTGTATCGCGAAAGTAATAATTCGCGTGCGATAAACACGTCCAGGCGAGTATCTACGAGTTGAACCGTGATAAAGAATCACCGATTCTGTGTTTAACTTAGAACGATATCCCGTATAAATTTACAGAGGCAGCGACGCAATCGTTGTCGTATTTCATCCCGTTTATCGATAAATTCTCCCACATTAATCTGTCTTTGGAACAAATAGTATTTTACGTCTCCTTTCTGTAATCATTTTACCCTGTTATCATTCACGTAAAGCGTACAATTTGTTCGAATAACAATCAGGAAACTGATATCCAGATACCGAGGCACAATTTATTTAAAGCGACTCAGTGTTTATTTAGCACGTATATCCGACTCCCGGGATAAACAAATATTAATTTCCCCTTTGCCCATGAACATTTTAGTACAGAGCCAAATATCTACCCACCTACTCGCGGAGCAAAATGAATTTATAGAAAACTTCAAACGCATACTTTTATTTCGCTGGGTTTTTGTACGGAAATATGTTTTTACGAAACCTCCGTTTCCTCTCTATTTTAAAACATAGTTGCGTAGCGTGGTTCTAGAATTGAATGTTTCTGTACAATTAGTTTTCCTGTGGTAGAGATATCCATCGAAAATCCCCACCTACGAAGGCTTAACAGTTGCATGAAAGGATGAGCGATCGTAAGAGAATGATTTCACTAAATGATCACGTCTCACTCGAGAGTTTCTTGAATTATCCGTGGAAGAAATGTCTTTCGAGGATCCCCATCTACAATGGGTTAAGAATTGCGCGAAGGGATGAACGATCTTAAGAGAATGATTTCACTAAAGAACGATCACGTCTCACTCAAGAGTTTCTTGAGTCGTCTATGGAAAAATGATTTCTACGAATGAACGATCATACGAAAATGATTTCGCTAATGATCACGTCTCACGACTCAAGAGTTTCTTGAGTTGTCTCTATGGATGACCGATCATAAGAAAATGATTTCGCTAATGATCACGTCTCACGACTCAAGGGTTTCTTGAGTCGTCTCTATGGATGAACGATCATAAGAGAATGATTTGTTGAAACAATGAGACGTGGCACATGGCAGCGCACGTGGTCCGCGAAAAGCGATAACAAACAGAGCTCGGCCTACCGTTGGAGGACGATATGGCCGGTGTCACTGCTTCATTCCCCGTGTCGTTCTTTCGCCACCGCTGGCTCGACCATCCCGCAAGATCTCCTCGTGAAACGAGACGAGTCCCTTCCGCAGTCGAAAGGGAAAGGGATCGTCCGAGCAAGACGGTCGATCAACCCAGTTTCCCGAATCCAAACGGGACTCGCAGGGGAAAGAAGGCCACGTATAGATATTAAAGGGGGAATCTTCCTTCCAACGGGTATCTCTCGTTTATTTCTTTCTGTTCCGCTGCGGTAACGTCACTTGATTAAGTGTTGCTCGGTCACGATCGTACGTCGCGAGCACGTTCGTCGCGTGTTCCTGGGAGAAAGACCAACGACCGACCCATCCGCGGCCGCGTCGCTCGATCGACTGAGTCTCCGCTCCCCGTACGCTGAATCGTTTTATTCCATCCCCCACCAGAGCACCGCTGTCTCCCACCCCTGCTTGATATAGGGCTGCGATGTACAGGGTGCTTCATAGCAGGTGACTTGTAACATGTCTAATATAAAAAGGTATTCGATCGAATATTGTACATAAGATCGCTGGAGTTGATTTCTCGCGTAAAAATAAGAATGATGTGTATTGGAAACAGTTTCGTTGAATCGTTTGAAGTCGAGAATATTAAATGGATTAGGAAATCTAAAATGATTGTTTCTTTGAAAGTAGTGTGATTGAATGGAGGTGAATGATTATTGGAGATAGAATGTTTGTTACTTTGGTTATAGGAAATTTATGTCTGGAGCTATGGCCAGTCTTTATGGAGTAGCCTATAGGACATGATGCCAACTGAATTTGTTAACACCGCTCGCTCGAAGGGATAGGGTGTCTGCATCCTTTCTTAAGTAGGGTAGCTTTCCTCTTCAGGGTGCTCGAGATGTACCAGGGTACAGGAGTCGATTCTACATAGAGAAAATAGACGAGAATTTCAAGTTGCTTCGAATTCTGCGACTTACTCGATTCTCTCTGAGTGCTGGATGCGTCCCGAAGGTAAAACCTGGTTACCGTAAGCATATTTCCTCGACGTGGATACACAAATTTCTTTAACCCCATTTTCCACTTATTTTTCTGTTAAACTAACGTTAGATCTAGCGTTAGATATGCAGAGTCATTTTTCCGAGTATCTCGCAGTACCGTTTCTGTCAATAATGGGAACAATGTCTCTTTACACCGATTGAATGAACTGTAAATTTCAGAATATTAAATATTCATACCAGAAATACCGAATGGACCGATTTCAAGATTCTTATTTGAGACTCGTGGTGAAGATTTTCAACGTGATTCAACAAATATATATTACTCAGTTCATTCGAATTCAAAGTAAATATTATTCCTCTGTAATCAACTATCATACTTGACCCTTTGCACTCCGGAGGTGACCCTCAGTCACCACTTGATTTCCTACAGTGAAGCTATAAAGTTTGATATTTAATATTATACTTCATATAATGCATCAGTCTGAGAAATATTGACGTAAAATTGCTTTGACCGTCAATTCACGTGAATTTCCCGTCGAGTTGGTTTTACGAAATATCGTCTTGATCTCATCAAAAAATGTTGAAATATTTCTAGTGAAAAACTTTTTCCAATAAATTATTAATGACAAAGTAGCCGTATCGGTCAGAGTTGAGAAAGAAATCATAGGCCAAGGGGTTAAGATAAAGATGCTTCCATGAGAAATTGCAAAAGAAATTCCCATTGTTCTTCAAATGTCAAGAGATGCTTTCCTAATTTCTACAACGAATTATACATAGCTCAGTCTTGTTGCTAGGTAATTCTAGTGTCAAGGAATATAAATTCAACCACAGGGAAAGTACGATCCAAAGGAAAGCACGAATCGTTAACGAAGTAGAAATCTAATGGAAACGACGCGTTCCTCGTACACTAATGGTGACGAAACAACAGCGCGGCAATCATCTACATAAGGAAATTCAGCGGCAACCTAGCTGTCTAACTCCCTGCTAATTCCACGCGATAATGACAGACGGGGGCGTTTTCGTTTCAATGCGTAATGCAACTAATCCGTCGACGTTCTGTCGTAGACTAAGCAACGGAACAGACCAGGTAAAACTTCCGGTGCCATTACTGCGGCGCATTGCATCGAGCCATTCATACATCAAACTGGCTGTCCACATGTTTTTCAACTTTTAATGCTAATAACACAACCTTTAATTAACGTGGATAGAGAAATAATTCCAGTGGCAAGTACGAACGCGTTTCAATCCTAAAGATCTCATTTTGACTTGTTGCAAATGACTGTGACGAGCAACTTCGACTTAAACTCAGCACTGACTTCACTGATTCAGAATATGTATGATACGAAACGAAATATTGAACATATATGAACTTATCTATTTGAATTTTTATCTCTCTATAGGTTCCTCGGATTCCCAGCTTGACAAACCGATCACTTAGGCGAATAAATGGCTCGACATGTTTAGCGACGCATCGAACCGTCGTGATTTCGATAGCGATTCGACGAAATTCCAGGCAAAAAGCGGTGGATCCACGGCTGAAGAACGGACGTGTCCACGGCCTCGGCTCCGCAGTTCTATCGATTCACGCCGTACGTCATTAAGTCGTCGCTGTTTGTCGTGCAGCAAGGTAAACTTAATATAAACAGGGTGTCGACCGTTCGGCAACGAATCTATCGATTTCTTAAATCCTGTCGCCCGCGGTAATCAAAGTAATGGAAGCGTCTCAAGTGAAGTGATCTCCTCGGCCAGGGGAATCGGGACAAGCAACGGGGGACGGAGTTAATAAAATTGATTCATCGATCGCGGAGCACAGCAATCATATAGAAACGAAGAATATCAATGAAAAAGTTCCATTTCGTTTAGCACCACCCGCCGATTCCTGTTGCACCTTATTGATTCCTTTATTTTTAATCTCGTTTCAATTTCAAGCTGTCGCTTGAACGCGACATTATTTCCGTTTAATTCATTGTTCCTCACTAAAACATGGGAGCCGTATAAAAGACTATAAAATCAGTGAAATTACATTTTCGGAGGACTGAAGGAATGACCTTTTATATTCTAAACTTCGAAACCTGGAGATAAAAAGGAAGCAAGGAAAGTGGCAGAATTATCCTTCAATATTGCGACGATCGATGTCGCCCACCGTTTAATTAAATACTTTATTAATTGGAAGGAAAAAGTGGAAGTGTTCGGTGTTCATTAAGCTATGATTTATTTCTCAGTCTCACCCACCTACGTTCGACGTTATTTCAGTCACGATAACCGGTTCGAAATTCATCCCCCGCAATAGTGCACGTTCCCAGGGATACGTGGCAGCCGTCGTGCCACGGGAAATCCTCACCGGAGAGGTGCGTGCACATAATGCAGCCGGCGCTGCGCTTTGAAACAAGAGGACTGCAGACAGCTCGTTAAAACTTTGATATCGACGCGCGACTCCGCGCGAGCGGCGCAATTTACACGGGACCGCGGCCGCCATTACGACGCGCGGAACACCGGCCAAAGGCAACCCGCATTTTTACACGCCGAAATCCTCCCCTCGCAGCGGATAATCCCGTTTCGAGCGACGTTCACCCGTTAACCGATATTGTCGACCATGAATAATCGAACACAAATAATGTGGGATCGTTATATTGCCGATCGTTATGGGAAATAAAAATTATTTACGGTAATTTAAAGAAACAGAGATTTCAGAAACCGATTTATATTAAGAATCTTAATAAGTTGAACGTAAAGTAATATTCTTAAGTTCTTGTGAACACTTCTCCGGTTTAACCCTTTGCACTCGGAATTTCTTCAGTAGAAACATTTTAACATTTTCTGATGATAAAGACGACATTGTTTGAAACTAATCTAACGATAATTCACATAAATTAAGCAACAAAGCTATTGTATTTAAATATTTCACATTGCGATACAAAGTTTAATTTAAAATAGCAAATATTCAACTTCATAGTTTTGCTGTATCAAGCACAATTTGCAGTCTAATAATGAAAATCTCATTCCACGATGATGAATTATTAGAATTAAATCTAGATTCTTGCGTATGTTCGATATAACTGAAATAATTTTCAAGCGAATGAAGGAAACGACTGAACGTTAGTGGGGAATAATCGGAGATTAAGAGTGAACTTATCGTTCTCGGTTAACAAATTGGTCGCTCCGCGTCGCTCCACGTTTCATCGACGAACGAACAGTAGGAACATTTATGCAGGCATAGGTGGACTTTATTAAACAGAAACACGGCTGGTCGAGTGAACATTTAATCGGCTTACAAATGGAACGAACGCGTCCGAAAAGTTTTCGCTAACATTACAGTTTTAACAACGCTCCTTAGCGCAGAGGTTTACGTATCATAAGCTTTTATGACCGACGACCGGCGTGTATCAAAGAACCATCAACGTTTACCACCAGTCCGACGAGAGAAGAGGAGGGAGAGAAAGTAAAAAATAATGCCGGAGAACCTGTTAAGGGCAGACATCAGAAAGTTCCATCGTTTTTATTATAAAACTTCGCGGGAGAATGATAAGAAAAGTGGGTATACTTAATTAGTGCCATAATTTCTACCAAATGAAGTCATTAGAAGTAATCTCAAACCCTCGTATTGTAATACCAAATCTGATTCATATCGAAACCATCAACCACAGAATGAAACTAAATAAAACCACTCCAAAATAATCACATTTATATAATATACGATTAACGGAGCATAATTGTTGAATTAGAATTGACTTGCATCAAATAATCACATTTATATAATATACGATTAACGGAGCATAATTGTTGAGTAAACCTTGACTTGCATCAAACCTAAGCAAGCTTCACTAATTATTGTTAACAATACTTTACGGTTGCCTATAGGCACCATCAGTACACCGAAATCAAATCATTAAAGCGTCTTTAAGCGCCAACAGCATCCAAAGGATTAATATTATATAAAATCATTATCAAAACTGAAACTATCTCCTTATCACTACCCAACGACTAAACTTCAACATCCAAACGAGACAAGGACTAATTCCACCAAACACCGAATCCTAGAGGAAAATATTAAGCATACTTACTTTCCTATTATTCCCACACAAAGTTTCCCGATAGAAAGGAGAAAGCCTCTTATTCCCCATTCGCCTGGGCGAATCCTTTCACCCTCGTTTCGCCCCGGATAAACGAAACTCCCCGATACTCCGGCGTTCCCTCTCTCCCCTGCTCTCCGGCGGGACCGTTCCGCGGAGTTTCAATTCTACTTCCTCCTGTACGGCGTAGGGTAATCCGTGAGAATGCTGCCTGTCGAGAGGATCGCCCCGGGGCCGCCGAGGATGCCGCCCTTGTTCGCGAGCCAGCCGTTCCCGCCGAAAAACCCGGCCGGTTCGAGCCGGTCCGTGAAAAACCCGGGGTCGTTCACGCCCACGACCTGCAGCAACCCGTTCCCGTTCCCCAGCTGTCTGCCCTGCGCGCCGCCGCCGCCGCCCCGCTCCCCTTGCCCGGCGAGATTGTTCAGCGTCTCCTTCAGCTGAACGACACGGTCCCGCAGGAACGATTGCGGCGAGAATTGCAGGTTCTGCGCGAGCGGCGTCAGAAACCAGGTGAGCAGGCTGGGCCTGGCTGTGCTCGAGTCGCTGGTCTGTACATTAAACGACGATTAACTCGCTCGACTGAACTTTCGATTCCTTTATCGCATTATCGAGGACATTTCGGAGTTGCTTTTTGGGATTCGGAGGGTTCGAACATGAATTTCGCTGGAGGAAGTGCGAAAATGGTGTCCGTGATGTCTGATGGTGAAATGGGTTTCTGACTTCGTGATTTAGGGTAGGTGTATTGGGACGGTGTTTGGGTAATGAGAAAGGTAGATTGATGTATTCTTGCGTTTACAAAGGGAAATTTAGATTTTTTCGAGTTCTTTACTCGAGTTCGAGTTGGATTGTCGAGAGGAAATCATTGGTGAGACATGGATTATTGAAATTCGACGGTTTTGCGGGCATCTGTAGATGTCTGATGGTGAAATAGGTTACTGACTTGGTGATTTACGTTTAGGGTAGGTGTATTAAGATGGTGTTTGGGTAATGAGAAAGGGAAATTTAGATTTTCTCGAGTTCGAGTTGGATTGTCGAGAGGAAATTATAGGTGAGACATGGATTATTGAAATTCGACGGTTTTGTGGGCATCTGTAATGTCCAAGGTTCGGGGAGAGGTGATTGTTTGAATGCTCACGCGTTGAGTAGTAGCGTCAGTCACGGTTGTAGCGATCAAAACGTCCTGATCCTCGTTCTTCTCTATTGAATGAATGCTTCCTTCGATCCCATTGGAACCATCGATGTAATCCACAGGTTTCGAAGATATCCCGGCAATCTAGGTATTCAACGAAGTATGAAATCAAAGATCCGTGAGCTTTCTTTTCTCTTGGAACGAAGATCGACTGAAGATACTCAAAGGGTTACCGTCATGGCAAGCAGAAAAATCGTCGTGAACGACATCGCGGAATTGCTTTTTCAGCGACACCCGTTGGATCCAAGGGGACACGTTCCAGAAGCTCCACTGAATTCGCGACACGTAAATGCAACCGTGTGAAGTGTGTCCGCAATATATACCACTTCCTACACCGAACTTTATCATATGAGGGCACCCACATGTGTCGCAGATATGGAAGGAATTGCCAAATTGTACGTAGCTTCCATTCATATGGGTGACAATACGAGCGATGCTCGAATATACATATAATATCCGGTATTATAAAAAATACAGCGCAACTGTTCGCGTTTCTCTTTTAGTTGCTGCTACTCTGGCCACGTCTTCGCGGCCCTGTTCATTTTCTGATAGCGAATCGATAACGAATCGACAATAAATAAGTCCTTTTTGACATATTGATCATGAAATCTTTAACCCTTTGCACTCGGGAGGTGACTCTCACCACTTGATTTCCTACAGAGAAGCTATAAAGTTTGATATTTAATATTATACTTCATATAATGCATCAATCTGAGAAATATTTACGTAAAATAGCTTTGTCCGTCAATTCGCGTGAATTTCTCGTCGAGTTGGTTTTACGAAATATCGTCTTGATCTCATCAGAAAATGTTGAAATATTTCTAGTGAAAAACTTCGGAGTGCAAAGGGTTAGTAACTATTATAAGTTCAATATCCTAAGTGAACTAAACAAAACCAGCGCACTTCGACAGACGCGAGACTTCATTGAAACTTCTGTTTCATTCTTCTCTAGATGTTTCATTAACATTGTTCGTAATCTCACGAAGCTTCAAGGTTAGGTAACGCAATTACCGAACACCGTGGCTTTTTCGTTCTCTATTCGACTCAATGAACGACTAACAAAAATGCATTACCATTATCAGCACGGCGTGGCGGAACGCCTTGCCGACCGGCGAACGTGTTATTAACGGCCGTTCGAACCGCGTCGACTTTGAAGAAAATTAGAACAAGCGACCGCGCGACGTCGACTTCTTTCGTTTCCCGCTCGCGATTCCCGTTCGAGAGATCGTAAACCGTATCAAGAGGAACGAAACGATCCCGAGAAAACCGGTCCGCCTTATTCCCTGCCCCATTGTGTTCAACCGAGTTCCATAACTGAATCGCCTTGAAGATGCATTCTCTCCTTCCTTTTTCTCGCCTCGCCCCGCGAGATCGTTACCGGTGGCCTTGTGCAAGGTCGCAAAGTCTTTCGAAATCGAAAGTCCCAATCGCGTTCCTCGGCCGCTCGCTCGCTCGCCCGTCCGCCATCTTTTTCCCCCGTTCCACGGCGATCGCTTCGCTTTCAACAAAATTCGTGCTACAAACTTTGCCCGGAGTCTTCCAATTAAAGGAGCAGGATCTAAAAATACCACTGAACTCCGTTTAACTTAACAACCGAGTTATACATTCCAATAGTCTTGAGAATCGTCTAACTTTCTAATAAAGAACACTTCGTGTTACTGACAATTACAGGAAATATCTGCCGATTTCGTCATTTGAACAATGCATCGATAGAATTTGATGGTTAAAGGGTATCGATCCGCGTTTAGATCTTTCCCTACGCGTCTCCACGGTAGGAAAGTCGCTAATCCTGTCGATAAGCCAATGAATTACCGTAAACGGCGCGCGATTCGTGCCGAACGTCCGCGAAACTGGCTGCATAGCGGGAAAAGCATCGGTCCGAGTTCACGGACACGGTCGGCATACCGATCGCAACTTAATTTAAGTGTCACGGCGGCCCCGCGTCTCTTCCTCGTCACGCAATTAATACTCCTGCGAGCCGGTCCGCTCGTTTACGTACGCGATCACGTAGAATATAGGCGCGCGGCGCCGAGGACGAGCTGGAACCGTTACGACCCGGCCTGTGTCCAGTCTTGTCCGGACGCTCGCCAGCGGATCTCGATCCGGTCAAGGAAAACCCAAGGAATCCCAGGGTTTCGCGCGTTTTCGACCGGTCCAACTGGCCAGTTCGCAATTGCTGGGCAAACGGCGCGCCACAGGGATCGGTTTAAAGATCAATTCAAGGAAAGTCGGTTGACAGTCAGCATGGAACGCTGATGGGACGATCAGATCGGTGCACGAGCTCAGAGTGTTCTAGTTCCGTTACAGTTTCGCATTTGCAGTCGGAGAGAAAGGATTCGTTGAAGATATTCAACTGATTTCTTGTGATCAAGCTTTTCGAGTGTTCGAAGGACATCATCATGAAAGTCTACAGCTTTGTCGTGGTACTCCTGGTTCATCAGGTGAGCCATGATTTAAAGAAAGCTCATGGTAACTAATAATTTTGATATATATATACTAGAAGATTGAGAAAAGATATGAAGATCTATATTTCGTTGACAGCGCAAGGATTATGTTAGCGAGTTATTATGATGTAGCCTTCAAACGACCTTCAACCTTAATTCTAAAGATTCTTGGATCTCCAATGATCATTAATTCGTAAGATTATTAATAGTTATTGAAACGGACGGTGCGTTTTCCTGTCTCTCGTGTTTCCCCCCGAGAAATACGGCCCGTCGTTCGAGCAAATGTAATTTCCGCTGGCGAACGGTCAATTAGTCCTTTCGGAAGATCTCGTTAAGCAGAGGCAAGTCATGTAATATTTCTGTTCCGAGTAAACTCGGAAGACCATGATTCCCCGGGAAAGTTTTCCCAACTAGCCAAGTTAATTATCAGTCCGAGTTACACCTCCCAGGGGTTGAATTGCCACAAACGAACCCCTAGAGCTCTTAAAACGTTACCTCCGGAAATTTGCGGTTACCGGGCGAAAAGAAAAAAAGGAGAGAGAACCCAACCAAGAAATTCCTTTTGCGAAAGAACACGCCGCGAATTCCCTTCTGACGCGTGGGTTAGCCAAATCGCACGCGTAAAGCTCGGAACTCAATTAGCGCGAGTCGCGTTTTACATATTTCAAATGAGATCTTATTAAAACTTCGGGTCGATAAAGCAATTGTGCCGCAGCCTGCGGAACTAAGTTTTAAGTACGAAGATGGCAACGCAGTTGCATTGCTAACCGAAAGTTTTAACGATAGAAATATTCTTCGAAAGTTGAAATTAAAATGCGACTTATATATTCTTCGACTTGCTGGACCGTTCGTATGCGAATGGTTCCAATTCATAGAAACAGCGATTAACATTCGAACCACCATATCGGTCAAAATGATCGACGTTAAAGGCATTGAATATTCCAAATGATTTCGAAAATAAATAGCTTCACTCGAGTACTGTAACGAATAACCGAAGAAACCGAGAACAATCTACCGTTGGAATATTTAAAGGGATTACTTATCAATCGTATTAAATGCTCGGTAGTTCCAGTATTAATCGTGAAATCATCTCCCGCGATGGAGGTCAAAGATTAGCTTCCGAAGCGAACGTTAATTAATGCTCCCATTTAATGTTTAATGTTTCTCCAGGCAATCGGCGGCACGGTCAGGAGAGAGCCAGCTTTTTCAAAGCCCGTGTACTCAGATTCCTATCTTCCCGCGGCCATGCAGGTAAGTCTCACGCTTAATTAAATGGGTCTTGATCACGCACCGAGCCTCGTTCGTTCGCGGAAATTTATAACGCGCCGCGCACGCGGACAATTTCATTACTAGCGGTGCGCACTTCTTCGCAGTTTCTTCGCGAGATAATCAGAACCCTCAAACTATTACCATTTTCTACTCAAAAGACAATACGATACAATAACAGCACAAACTCCGTTAATAATAAAACACGCGACATTCGGGACATCTTCACCGACACTCAAGCTATCGAATTCTTCCATCGACGCGTTGCTGAAAACATCGCAGACAAAAACTCCATCAATAATTAATCTTAGAATACGCAAAAAACCTGTCGCAGGTGATATTCCACGCAGTGGAGCAGCTGAAGCTGCTGCAGTCCGACGAAACGCGAGAAGTCGTGAGCAGCACCACGCCAATCTGCCTCGCGCAGTCTAGCCAACAGGCAACCGGAGAATCGACGACCGTCGCGCCGGAAGTGAGTAACAGTCAGTCGGACGAGGGCAAGGAAGAGGAGGGAGCGCCGGCGGAAGCGGAGGAAACGACGAGTCGCGCGGAGAATACGACGAAGTCGCTGGGAACGCGCGAGGAATCGACGGAGGATTCCGTCAGCTGGCTAGAAGCGAGCTCAAGTCATCAGGAGCCGGCGGAGGCGAGCTTAAGTCATCAGGAACCGTCAGAGGTGAACGAGGAAACGCCAGAAACGAACTACGCGACGCCGGAGGCGAATTACGAGCTGCCGGAAGCGGTGCACGCCGTCCAGGAGACGAACGAAGAAGTCACCGAGGAGGATCAAGAGTTCGACGCTTCCTCCGTCGGCCCAGATGCCTCTTCCGACGCGGAAACGAGCGTCGGAGAAGCGAACGCGGGATCAACGAGTACTTCCGGTTCGTTGTTGAACCAGGAATCGATCGCAGAGCCTGAACAGAAGAAGAAGCAACCGACTATCGACAGCGTGGTACAGGTGGTGTACGATATCGTGAAGACCACGCCGTCCGAGCTGGTTGACGAGGACACCGCGGCTAGCGGAGAGTCGAAGAGCGTCACGGGAATGTCTGTGGAGAAGATGGAGAATATGGAGGACGAGGATGATGAGAACAGGTGAAAGGTTTTATTTCGGTGGCTAATTCAACGCTACGATTCTCTGGGAGTTGTCTTTAATGCTCTTATATCTTATGTCTTATATCTTATATCTTATATCTTATATCTTATATCTTATATCTTATATCTTATATCTTATATCTTATATCTTATATCTTATATCTTATATCTTATATCTTATATCTTATATCTTATATCTTATATCTTATATCTTATATCTATCTTATAACTTCCCAAAGAAGTTATAAGAAATATGGCGACATTAAAGATGAGTGCTAGAGAATTGGATAGTGTCGAATTCGGTACTGAAGTTAATTTCAACTGTTGACTGCTGAGATAGACGTCAATGTTTACTGTGAAATGAATGTAGTCGAATTACCATTGATTCGAGAAGTTTAACGCTAGAACTACCAAAATATAGGTACTCTTGGGTTTACTGTAAAAGAATTTCGATACACCAATTGGAAATTTGACTGCTGGTTCTAGATTGAATGGAGCCATCTCCGAGTCCAGCGAATAAAATGATTATTTACGTTAGAATTTGTCAACTCCAGGGGTTAGGGAAACGTCTAATTGGTTAACCACAGTACCAACAACGAGATTCCTTTGTAGATTCACGCGTCTCGGCGAGAGGGTGACGCAAGTGCCAAGGCCGAGCTTAACCAGCTACTTAAGACGCGCTAAAGTGCCGCCGAGCGCCACTCTTCAGCAACTGGCGAACCTCTACGACTCCCTGAGCAAGGACGCCAGGAAACAAGGGTTCGGCAAGTACACCGGGTACTCGGACGAGGTGCTGAATACCCTGGAGACGTCCGCGGAAGGCGGAGTCGTGCCGCAATTGAGGAAAATCTTGGACAAGGTCTTGGAGCGGAACGAACTGACGAGGGAAGACGCGAGGACTAGGACCACGCAGGCTGTCCGGGACCTCAACAATCCCTCGAGCGCCCTCAGCAAGGAGCTGAGGCCTCTGCTGCCTCTGCGATACTCGTCCTAATTGTCGATGTTACCATTTTCGTGATCATTCTCCTGTATTTATGATTAATCGACGATTTTTCTTTGATTCTGCGAGAGTAGCGGCGCGAGTATCATATAAATGAATAAATGGCTGAATAAAGATAACAGAGGTCCAGGTATTTCGAATAGTTAGTATCTGTAAATGTGTGGCCAGTGTCTTGAATTGAATAATCGAATTGAATTTAGTCATCTTCATTTTGGAGAGAGCATCGATCGGTCACCTATGAAATGAATCGAGAAGGCTGAATAGAGAAAGTGCAGCTACACGGATGAAGAGACACTATAACATCGTCTATGTAGAAGTAACACATAATAAAACGCTTCGATATATCTACCGGTTAACACGTTCGCTACCAGCGTTTGTTTCAGTGGCGATCCTCTCAATTATATTTTATTCGATTCAAACTATTGAAACGAATGAAGCTAAAACGAGTCGTTCGATCCCTGAATGTAATTTCGTAGCTTGTAACACCAACTAACGATATCTACAGGATTAGTTTCATTTTCTTTATATAAAACATAGGATTGCGGCCGTCGCAAATATGCGACACCGGTAGCGAACGCGTTAAGTGACTCATTTTACCGCGACAACCGCAATAAGTTGGGACCATTATGAATACAATATACTCGACTCGGTTGACGTATGATTCATGATTCTTTTCGGTACAGTCTCTAACGAAACCACCGTGAAACGTGCACTTCAATTTGAACCTACAGAACTGTCTACGTTGACTAGTTACAAACTTAACACTTCATCATTTTATCTAATGAAACAAGTGTTCGATTTAGGAATCTTAATTCTCTTCGAAATCCAGCATTTATTTTACAATGCCTTCCGGTAAAGGACCAAGTAATAATTAGAATAGCTCGATGTAACGAATATCACCGAAATGACGAGTAGATTGTTGGCGTCAGCTAGCTCGTCAGGGTTCTAGGCACATCGTCGACGAAAATCCCGCGAATTTCATCAATCCGCCTTGACCCGCCGCCGCGCCGGCCGAATCCGCTGGCGATATTGTTTATTGCTAGGACGATATGGGTGGACACTGGCCACAGAGCGTTGTTACGTGCTCCGAATGGCGATATCGTTAAGCAATTTCTGTGTCAATGGTTTGTCCCACGGTGGGGGGCAAAGGCGTAGACGAAAAACAATGGCGATGCGCGGCCCGTCGAGAGGACGGCGTTGCGGTTTTACGCCGTTGGCCGGCAAGCAAGTATAAATGGATTTTGAAATCAATGGGTCCTTCAGTTGATCGCGTCCGCCTCGAATGAAAGGATTAATCGACCGAGCGTGTGACATGGGGATTCACTTTCTGGCACTTTGGCTTCTCTGCGTAAGTGAACATTTCTCGCCGTCGAACAATCGTTCGCCGATTAAGAGCAGGCTCGTCGAGATCGGTTAATTAATTCCGGGATTCGAGGAATTTAAATTTAACCGTTCATTATAAGCTTTACAATTTCATCAACCCTTTCGGTCATGGTATCCTCATATAAGAACATACTAAATAAATGATCGATGTATCTAAATTCGGTAGATTATGTAGATCTCTTATCAAATTGTGTTATCACGAAGTAAAACTAAAGACACACATCCAAGTGTACTCAGGAGAAAATAATTCGTGACTGGAAGGGTTGAAGTAGCTACAATTATTAGTATAATTAGTAATTTCTCATAGTAGAATTCAGTTTTCATTCGTTTCTTCGTACAATTAGAAGTTCGAAGGGTTAACGCCGAGTTGATTAACGCGCCGACGTATAGTCGATTAATTAAGGGCGAGACACCTGCTAAAAGTCGAGCGAAGTTTTCGCGGCAGACTTCAACGGGTCGTTTCCTAGCAGTGTCTTTAATTAAACTAATGAAAGCGTCGGGGCTCGAATAGAAAAAGAGTGGAATTGATCCTCGAACAGTAGCCAGATAACGACGACGGTCTTCAGGAAGTTAATCCGCTCGGAACTTGGGACGAAGTTGAACACAGGTTCCTCTAATGCTCCTCGATGTCTAGGAAAATCATGTACCGAAGCAGAGTAAGCTTCCCTCTGATTCCCCTTTTCATCAATTAATCCGTAACTTCGTTACGGGCTGCGAGTCGCTCGGTCAAAGCAACGATCACAATGATAAATCTTAATCTACTTGGAGCGGAAATTTGCATAAAGATCCGCGACGTAGTCACGTCGCAGCTCGCAGAAGCCCTTTATTAGCTCCCATTGTCCTCGAATTGTTATCGAGTCGCTAACGATCCGAATTTCAATAACGAACCGGCACCCGCTTGTTCCAGCTCTCCGCGGCCGATTCGAAGCCGCAGATAACGAAGTTGTTTCCGGTCCAGGAGGCCATCGAGTATCATCAGCGCACCAGCAACGAGACGAAACTGGACAAGTTCCTGGGGAAACTGTGGGCCACGTACAACTTCGTGTTCCGCAGACCGGAGAACACCAGCAACGTGGAGAAGATTTTAGCGAAAGAAGCTGCGGTCCCGGACGTGGACGACGACGATTGGATAAACTACATTCAGCCCCTGGACCATTCGGAAGGGTTGGAGCCACTGGAACTCGAGGATGAAGAGGACAAGAAGACCCAGGTGGAATTCATCACGCCTAGACCCACTGATTATCCTGCTACAATCAGGAGACGCCTCGTCGACTGGCTTAGCTTGCTTCTGGGGATTCCGTACGGAGTTTACTCGAAGCTGACTAGGGCTATTTATAGTAATGGCACAGTAACGAATAATTGATTTCAATTAGGCAAGTGGGATTTGGTCGGATGAAGTATGCGACCTGCCCTTGAAGTATGGACTGTTGACCCTTTGCGATTCGTACGTTTATCGTTATCTTTGTTTTAGACGCTTCTGAAATAATGTGTATAGCGATAGTAGATCGAACGAAAATATTTAAGTAGTTTCGAGGAACAAAGGATTAGTGGATGAGATGCTTCGTTGAAATAAAATGAACGTACACGCTGGTTCTTTACACTTATTTTATTCAAAAATATCTTGGTCTGAAAAATACATGTGTTACCATTTGTTTATCATCTTCTCTTTTCTTTCTTTTTTTTGGCAATCATCGTATCATACAATAACAATCGTTCTTCGAGTAACACCTTATTGTAAATGCATGATCATTGTTAAAATACTTTTATCATTGTATCGCCTTACCAGCGATGGACGCCGCGGTGAGCATCGACACCTTATTACTCTAATCAATTGATTTTATCCAGAAGTTGGTAAACCGAAGTTCCCTTAACTCAGGTTAGCAATGAATCATAGAAAACTATTTGAATACGTAAATATTTTAGCCGGACACCGTCGCGGAGCACGGCTCGTTCGTGCCTGGGTTAAGGGAACACGTGAAATCGACAGAAGATTAGGAAGAAGAGATAAAATACTGCTACTTCTCGTACATTCGAAGTCTTTGGTTCTATTAAAATGTGGCTCGAATCTTACATTAGCGCCATTTGCCCTAAAAGTTCACCTAATAGACATTCCAACTGTTGCCTGTCATTGCCAAACGTAATCACAAGTATCGATAGGTCTACAGCGTGTAGGAATTCTCGCGAATCTAACGGCGAAGCCACTTTGTTTTCCACTGTAGACGAAACGCAATGTTTGCATTGATAGAAGAGATACAATGATAATTGAATTAACCGATAATCTTCAAGGAGTTATCAATGCAAGCAGAATTGGATTTCTTACACTTCGTCGGGACCGTGTGATTCAATTCTTTTTTTGTTGAAATCAATTTTGAGCAATCCTAAGGTTTCAATTATATTCACGAAATACTTAAACGTAAAAAATATTCAACTCTTTCATGCATAATCCTGAGGTCGAGATAAAAATAAATGAATAAATGCAAAAGTAATAGGGACTCTTCGATAATGTAGAAACCTAAATATAACAAAGAATATACTAAAAACGATTATTTAACCAAATACATTCGAAATGGAGAATATTACTTTATCAAATATTCTTTGGTTAAATTTCCGACTTTGCATTGCGAGGAGCAATAACACGTTCGTGACTAGCATTTCTTTCAATAGAAAGCTCTATTATTACAAATTTTATTAAATGAAACAAATTGTCTTTATAAAATACAATGAATCAATTTCCTTTATGCAAGATGCAAAGTGTTAAGCGTCACGCTGGTCGCGAAAGTGTTAAACGAACATGGTCTTCGAACATTGCAAAATTAATATCACGTCTTTTCGAGCTTTGGTTAAAAGTAATTAACGATTAAAAGTAATATATTGATGAAAAAAAAATGAATAAAGTACTAA